CTATGGGTGGGTGGATGTTTGGGAGACGGGTCGCTGATGTGAGGGTCCAGAAATTTGGCAGCTTTTTGGGGGTAACGCGGATAGAGCGTGTGATTGTAAGGGCACGGGGGTGTAGTTGGGGTGGGTCATGGGGGGATGCTTTAGGGGGAAGGGTGTTTGGGGGTGCAATTGTGCGAGGGCCCAGGTTGGCCTGGAGTGCACAGGGTCTTGGGGGACAGGGTTGCCACAGAGTCGCCCTGAGGGTTTGGGTCAGGTTTCAAATGCTGGCATGGGGGTCTCAGGGATTTGACAGGCCGCCTGGAGCTCCCTGGGTCTGGGGCCGGGGGGAGGGGGCCATGCTGCCTCGGATCATGGTGCGTGCCGCCCCACGGGCGGGGAGGAGGATGCAGGCCGCCGCCAGGGTCCTCTCCGGCTGACTAGCCCCCAATTTTGTGGCGCGACGCGCAACTGCTGTGCGCCGCGCACCCAGTATGAGGGCGACGCGCGTGGGTGAGCGATTCCGCTCGCAGCTGCGGACGCACTCATGCAGGCGCACTCTCTCAGCGCGAGCGCCTGCACTTCACCCACCCTCCCGTTCGCCTGCCAACCCGCCGTACGCCTCCCAGACAACTGTCCACCTCATCCGCACCGTCTGACTTACACACACACACACATACACACATACACACACACACACATACACACCCCACCCCACCACATGCTGCAGGCAAGTGCGAGCCCGCGCCGGGCAGCCCCTTGGACGACGCCCTGGAGCTGCCATGGCGTGAAATGCTGGAGGGCGCGCTGACAGCTGCCTTCAGCATGCTGCGCAGCCCCACGGAGCACGAGAGTAACCCCCTCATCAGCAGTGAGACGCGGGCGGGCACTGCAGGGCGGGGCAGGGCGGGGCAAGGGGCCGGGCGGCGCGGTTGGGCCACGTGACAGCTGCAGGCCGTGGAGCCGGCAGGGCCATCGGAGCCGGTTTCGAGAGCCTTCCTCAACGGCGATCCCTGTTCCAGCGTTGACCAGGACGTTGACTGTACGCCGTCCCGCCAGCCGGGCATGCGGGCGTGCACGTCGCGTCACATCTCTTCCTCGACCGGTGGCGCCTGCGATGACGAAACGTTCGACCCATTTGTCACCCGCATCTTGGTCCGCCCTGCAGGCATCATCCAGGGGTATTTCCTGAAGCTTCTCGGCAACTACCGCTCCTTCATCCGCCCGGACGCCCCGCGGCCGTCCCTCACCCGCCCTGGCACCGCGCCCTCCACCGGCCCGCCCTCCCCTCACGGCGGCGGCGGCGGCGGCGCCGGCGGCGGGGGTGCGGGCGGCAGTGGCGCGCGGGCGCCGCCGCTGGCGCGTCAGTCAATGCCTGTGAAGGGCGTGGCGTGTGAGGGGGACGCGATCAGGGGCAGCGGTTACGTGTTTGACCACGCGGGGCTGGTGGCATCGCACAGGTGTGCACGCTCACGGGCTCCTTTTGATCTGACCTGAAAGAACCTCGTTGACTTGCCCATAGTTTTGCCAAGCGTGGCCTCACAGCCAACAGCTGGGTTCGGGGCGCCCCAAGCCACTCAAAAGGCCTGAATGTCGCGTCAAATGCACTCGCATTCCCTGGTTCATACACACACGCACACACACACACACACACACACACACACACACACACACACACACACTCACACTCACACACAGGCACAACGACAAGGCGCGCGCGTTCCTGCACCAGCTGCGCCAGAGCCAGATGTACGAGGTATTCGTGCAGGAGCGCCTCAAAATCGCGGCAGACTGCGGATACGACCCCGGCAGCGGCGGGCAGCCCGGCTTCGCACCAGGGGCGCCGGCGGCGGCGCTCGGCTACGGCGGGCCGCACAACACAGGCGGCAGCGCCTCGCCCGGCCCGCCCGGCGGCGGGGGCGACAGCGGCGGCGGTGGCGGCGGCGTGTGGGACGAGGGCGGGGACCCGTTTGAAGAGCGCGTGAGTGCCTACCTGGACAACCGCAGCCGGCGGCTGGCGGCGCGGCTCAACGCGGGCGTGAGGTCGTCGCTGACGCGCTTCCAGGTGCGCCCCGCGTCCCCTTGCCGCCTTCACGACGCACCCGGCAGTTGCCCCCTGTCGTCCCTTCCTTGCCCGGGGCCCTTTTCGCTGCCTCACCGCTGCGCGCGAGCCGACGCGGCGCGCGATCTCCATGCCAGCGAACGCCCGCTCTCGCGCAACAGCGGCGCGTTTGAACCTCTAGGGTGCTTTAGAGCAGACATCCTGGCAGCTGACTTTGAAAAATGAGACGTCCTAATAACTATTCAAGCCGTGAAGCCCCCAACTATCAACCGCTGACCCCTGCCGCAGGCCTACATCAAAAAGCACCGCCGCACCGACGGCCTGCCAGAGCCGGACCTTGCCCGCGCCAAGCAGCTGGCCAGCGCCTTCATGGCCGGCGCCGCCGGCGCGGTCCGCCGCACGCTCGAGAGCGCCGGCGGCGCCGCGGAGCCCCGGGGGGCAACTGGCGGCGGCGGGGCTGCCGTCAGCGGCGGAAGCTGGGGGAACCTGCAGCAGCTGCTGCTCCAGCAGCAGCACGGCGGCGGGGGCGGGGGCGGCGGCGGCCACGGCCCAGGCGGCGCGGAGGCGGGAGGGTTTGGCAGCGTCTCCTCGGGCCCGCTGGCCGGCGGCTTGGCGCGCCATCGGCATTCCATGTCGGTCGACCAGATCGCCGGACTGCAGTCCGCCGGCCCCCGCGGCGCCGCCGGCGGCCCGGGCGCCACCCGCAACGGCTGCCGCAGCTTCTCGGCGGGCCCCGCGGGCGCGGGCGCCGCCGCGGACGCGCTCGGCGTGTTTGACCCGTCTGCCTTTTTTGAAGAGGATGAGGAAGAAGTCGACGAGGCAGACGCGGCGGCAGCAGCAGCCAACGCCGAGCGCGGCGGCGGGCGGCTGAGCCGCAACGCGAGCAACTCGAGCCTCAGCAGCCTCGGAGGCCTCAGCGGGGGCCAGAGCTTCACCAACGGCGGGCCAGGCGGCGCGGCCGCGGCAGGGAGGGCGGCGGGCGGCGGCGGCGGCGCGGGCGGGAGGGG